ATTCTCCCTACTCTCCCAGCAAGTAGTCCCATAATGAGCTGTATGCTAGAGGGCCTACCAACAGTGGAGAGAGCTTGACAGGTAGCACCTACACAGCATCTTTCGCTGATTGCCTACATGAAACCGTACAACAAGAGATAGTCAAAGGACGTATGGTCACTTCTAAGAGGTCTGAACACAAGATCAGAGACGTGGTCTTTCTTCTCACTATTCTCCCAGCATGTAGCCCCCTGTTGTCTGCCCCAGGGCCTGATGCTATCTCTCTCTTGGCTTTGACCCCCGTTCATGTAGGCAAACCCGCCTCCCGTTCCCCTACCCCCGCCCTTCGGAACTTGGCTAAGATAAGGCACCTGCGGACCTGCATGGGTTTAGAGACCCCTGGATTGTCTGAGCACTTCTGAGAGGTGCGCCCCTACAGTCCTGTAGGTGCTCTCCTGCGTGTTGGCCTCCCAGTGTCCCATCCCATCCTTGTGGGCTCAATAGTCTGGTGACTGACAACGTTGAAGAAAGCAGTGATAAGCTTACGTCTTTCCCAGTTTCCAATATATATGCACCTGCATTCCTGTTTCTGATACGTGGAACCACCCGACCATCTGGGTCTTGCTGTTCTGTGGATGCCATCAGTCCGGTGTGCGGCTACAATCCTGCCAATGGTGCAGGACCCCAGTCAGACACCTCAGCACCACTGATGTGTGTTGAACCACAGTCCTACAGGTGCTGATCCTGAGGCTCTGACCCAAACATCTTTTGCCGGCGGGTGACCACGAAATTCGTTATGGAATCCGGAAAAAAAAATATAAAAGTAAAAACTCACCACATACACAAAACAAAACAAGCGCTAGCGCTTCGTGCCCCGCGGACGGCAGGGCCCGCCCGCAAGGACCCGCACAAGCCCACAGGTGATGCCCGCCATACTGGCCGTTCATCGTCCGCCGACTTGAACATCGACGTCCCCCAGCCATGTTTGTGCCGGAGTGGGAATGTCCACGTGGCGAACGTTCAATGTGCTGACGCCAGCGCAGCAGTTGAAGGGAGTACAGTAGCATCGGAAAACATCGAGTGGCACAAGGCTAACTGGAGATGTGGTGGTCGCAGTGAAGGAAAACATCAGCGGAAGAACAGCTGCTACATCAACAACGGTGGCAGAGATGGAGACGGAGACCATGTCTGATGGGGAGCTGAGGGACACCCCTCCTGCCCTGCAGCCCGTGGAGGCAGATTCTGCACTGTTGATTGTGACCTTGTATAAACAGCAACTGGAGGAGATGCACGAGGTACTGAGTCAAGAACATGGCAACTTACCACATGATATTTTGTTGGAGGGAGAGGGGATCTTTGATGGATGGGAGGAGGAACTGTATGCGCAGATCTCGCTCGAACAGTTGGACATGAATGACAGAGCACAGGCAATGGCTGCCCTACACGAGTGCGCTGGGATGCTGACGCAGGTGAAAGACTTGCCAAGCCTCTAGCGAGAAGAGCCATGGGCGGTCCACCAGGTGAGTTGTTCTCATCTAAGCGCCAGCATAGCGTGACACGCACAGCATCAGCAACATCAGCAACATCAGCAACATCTTGTTGATCAACAACATAAACAATAACAACATCAACAAGAACAACAGTGACATCACCAATTACTCCACTCTGTGTCCAGCGACAGCAGCCAGTTGGTCAGTGTGAAGAATTGGGTGATGATCATATGGTGAAGGGGCGTCATATTCGAAGGGGCGTTATATTCGAAGGGGCGTTCTATTCGGAAAAGAACGAGTAAAAAGTACTAAAACAAAAATCTGTTTTTCTAAGGGTGATCTGAACATAACGCCGGGGGGTTATTTTCGGTAGTGCAAGCTCCGGTGGGTCCTCATCTGCAATCCTGTTCAGTAAAGGGGTGCCTTGTTCTTCCAGAAATTTTGTCCGTCTCTCCAGGATTGCTAATTTTTTTTTCTCGTTTCCGCATTCTGGTTCTTTTCTTCACCCACCAAGTCATTTACCAGAGAGATCATTTTGCCTTCATCCTCCCTTTGCCCTCCCTTCTCTTATTTGTCCCCCCCCTTCATTTGTTTCAGCCCTCGCCTTGTCTTCTCGGTGGTAAGAGATACAGAGCTGGGAGGCTATGTCTTGGGTCTCAGTTTCCATTCCGTCCATCTGCTCTTCCGCGTATTGCTGCACCAAAATTTCTGCGAAGTTGCTTTCAGACTGCAGCAGCTCGTATGGGTTCGGTGTTGTAGGACACCCGCTAGAGCTCACTGAGGCTTCACATTTTTTCAGATTGTTGATGTGCCACGTGTGTGCCAGTATGATATCCAGATCCACGTCCCTGCGTGTCTGTAGAGACTCAATGTACTCTTGTCAGTCATGACAAGGAGATGGACTGGTCTTCTCCACTCTTAGACCCGTAGGTACCATCCAGACCTTTCCCAAGAGTTAACAGATCCACATACATTTCCTCCTCCTCCTCCTCCTCCTCCTCCGAGTTGCCTGCAGTTCTCCCTTCTCGGCGTCAGGTGAAGAGGTAGATCCTTCATTGTTATCCTCCACGTTTCTCAAATCTCCTGTTTGCTCGGCTTCTTTTGTCATTACTTATGTTCTTTTTTTCACTTTGAGTGCATTTCTGGTTAGAACAGTTTTCGGGCTATGCCTTTTCTGATTCCCTCCCTACGATTCGCACTTCTCTGAGAATTCCCTGTTTTAGTCTGCTCCATCTGGACTCCAGAGCCACGTGCAACTTTGGCATACTTGCAAGTGAATTTATCGCCTTTTTTGCCATCTGCTCGTTAGCCGCGGGCGGGGGGGGGGGGGGTAAGGTGTCGGGTTTGCAGGGAGGTTCAGGGTCAGCCAAGGTCCACACCCACACAGGAGATTCCCCTCAGATCATCAAAGCACGTTGTTCATGCACTTTTAGATGATAGATCACCAATAGATCATAGATCATCTATTTGCCACGTTCATAAAACCTTCTGGCCTACTTTTAAATTAGCCACTTGCAGAAGGCTAGTTCTCAGAAAAAATGTACAAAAAAAAGGGATATCCCTGAACAGAGCGCACATCCTTTCTGAAAGACCTTGTTTAAGCATCCATTGGAAACGGAGAGCTTTTACTCTCTCTCTCTCTCTCTCTCTCTCTCTCTCTCTCTCTCTCTCTCTCTCTCTCTCTCTCTC